TATATAGAAGGAATGGAGATTTATCATGGTTTTAATTGTAAAGTTTTCATTTCCATTCCCAAAGTTGCTAGTCAGCATCAGTGAAAGAAGATTAGCATGCTGATTATGTGGAGACTGGTCACCTCTTTGAAGAAGAAGCAGCTCTCACCAAATACCAAAATATTCTCCCATCCACTTCAGACTGGAAGGTACCAACAATCCTATAGGAAAGGTACTACAGTAGTTTGATGGTATGGTCAATCTGAGTATAAGAAAAAGAGATGTTTGAAAATATTGTACAGAAAAGGAGCTGTTTAAAATACTAGGGGGAAACATAGTAAAGACCTGATGAAAGAAGCTTCCTCCTTGCTTTATCTTTCCTTAAAGTACTTATATGTAAAAAATATTTTTAAATTGCCCTTCTAAATCTTCCTCTTATAAATTCCCATATTAGATATGCAATAATCATCATTATTTTCTCAGACTTTACAATCACCACTTCCTCTTCTACTTACACCTCTATTACCAACATAGTAAGAGATATCTATAGGAAAGAGACACAGAAGGCTCACTGTTAACAAAACAGAAGGCAGCCTTCCTACAAAGAAATAAAAGAGAAAAAACAAAAATATAAAAAAGGGAGTGAGATCTATGTCGACCCAGATACAATGCAGAAGCACCACACCCAAATACAAAGGCTTAATGCACTGAAGGATTTCCTCAATTTTTAGTTTGTTGAACTGAATGCAAAATATGTAGTGGGTCCTTTGAATTTCCTGTATGTGAAAAGAATTTTGACAATAGTAAAAAAAAGATCCCAAGCACAGCAAAAACAGAGCATGCTGAAAGAGGCAAACATTGTCTTCAATATATCACCTCCAATGGCCAAGTTTAACAATTCACAGTTAAAAGAATTTTGTTCAGAAAGGGATTCAGCATTTATACACCCTTCCCTTTATAGGACTGTAAAACTGACTTAACTGGAAGACATTGAAAACCTGTCTCAGGATAGCACTATCAAAACTCAGATGGAACAAAAGTTCGTGGAACAGGTCATCTCTGTCCTCACTCCCAAGCATGTTCTTTTCTGTAACACAGCACTAGTGAACCAATTATGTCTCAGTTTAGCTAGTTTGAACAGCCAAGGTTACAGGTAATTTGTGCATGTTGGATGTTACCATAAAGGAGAAAGAGTTTTCTTTTATTGGGGTTTTGCTGTCATTTTTAGTGAATTGATCCACTTGTAACATCATCAATGTGGGTAATGTTAGCTAGTGATTGAAATGCCATCCTTGATCCTGATTGAGACAGGATGAAAAAATTTAGTGAATTTATTGGCAAACTTGGTATGGTCAGCAAATGGGCATCTAAAAAGGATAGAATTGATTTGGACAGATACATGCAACTCAGGTAGGATATAGAATTCTTGCGACATTGACTGAGTCCTAGTTATGAAAATTGGCTTAAAGTTGTCCAAGTTTTTATAGCATACTTTATTCAGCCCATGGGTTACTTCAGGTCCAGATAATGATGCCTCAATATGGGATAATGATTAGTAAGGCTAGTCTGGTTGACTATTCTTACCAAGTAGTGAGTTTAATCTTCACTGGGTGCTCCATATAAAATTTGATAAGGGTTAACATGTCATAGAATCAACCAAGCAATCAATTCAAGTAACCTTAGATAAGGCTAAACCTAGAATAGTTCCATACTGAAAATTCAGCACTTTCTTATAGGATGTAAAGATTTTCAGGAACAGCTACTTTTAACTTTAAAACTGGAATAAACTAGAGTAAAAAGAATATCTGCCAAGGCAACAAATATGACTACAAAATTGTATATAGAAATTTGGAGTGTTAGAAATTAGTACATCACTAGTTTGGAAACATTGACAACAAATGACGGCATCTGTGAGAAATTTCATTATCTCATTCAAAAGCATTTCACCAGAGAGATCAGTCTATGCTCTGTTCAGTATCTGTTTCAATAACTTTTCTTGCCTCAAGGTGATTGAAGCAACTAGGTGTAATGGTCCTATAGCACAACTTGAGATTTTGGAAGCATTAAAAAAACTGTCAATATGGATAAAACTCCAGAAATTGATGGCTTCACTTACAAATTATACTTAATGCTGTTCCACATATTTGTCTCTTTGTTGGCATTGATCTTCAAGAACTGGTTAAAATGAGAACATTCCCAAAGCTTTACCAGATGTGCAGTGAAGTTGCTACACAAAAACAAACATGACAGGAATAAGCTAATAAATTTTGCATCTTAACTATGTTAAATTCAGAGCTAAAGATTTTGGCCAAGTTCTTTTGAAACTGGTTGTAGGCTGTACTAGATCATCCAATAAATGCTAAACAGAATTGTATTGTGAAGAGTAAGATTAGCTAAAATAACCTGCATTTCATATGCAAGCTGTGTTTATTTGTTTATATTAATCCAAGTTCTTCAACGGGGTTGACTCATTTTCTGGAGGCTGTCTTGTCAATATCTGACTTCAAGACATGTTTTCCCTCCTGAATCTACCTGCTGTATGTGACCCCTCAGATGCTGGTGACAGTTAACATTATAATATCAAAACCTCCTATATTTTCCAAGTTTATTTATCAAGTTTGTTCACTTTCACCCATGTTGCACATCCTTGAAGTAAACTTTTCTTGCATGAAATTAAATTACTTATTATTACACCTGTGGTCAAGTACTCTGAGTAGGCTGATTATATCTCAACAGTTGTAATGAACTTTGCCAAGATTGAGGAGGTCAACAATGGTCAAATGGGTATGAAACTGTGATGAACTAAGTTAATCACAATGTCTGTTGGCTTGCAGTTCATCTCATGCAGAGGTTGTCCAATCCCTGCCTCCTTCAATTGAACAGACAGGCTTTGAAAAATACTTGGTATCTACTTTGGTCCTAACTTCCAGATGGAAAAGAATTGGCCAGAGTTAATTTGTAGCCTTGAAAGAATCTTTCCTTAAAGAGAGGGCCAAGATGCGTACTTTGCACATATACTGCCACATCCTTTACTATCAGAACATTCACTCCCAAGTACCAGAGTAGCTAAGCTAGAAAGAGCCTTATTTCTTTTGAAATAAAATGTCTCCTATGATGCATTGCAAGATCTATTACTCTATCCTTCTGATGATAGTCTAGAGACACATAATATTGAGCTCTCCTGGGAATGTCTAATGATTATATTTCCTAGGCCAGAAATATGCACAAGACTATGGTAATGGTAGATTCAGAAAAGAAAATACTAAGTAAGCTTTTCTGATTTTGAGAAGTGTGCACTTGAAAGAGAGTTGGGTCCACCATTTGCCCTCAAATAAGTCTTCCATCTATCATAAATAATGACATTGCCAAGGAGAGGAGAGCAATGTGAAACAATCTGATCAATGTGCTTAGCCTGAGAACTGAGGGAATATTGATCTCTTGGGCATCCAAGTCAAAATCTCGGTAATGATGAGGTGTCTGTCACCTAGCTGGGTTGGTAAATTGTCTTTCTCTGTGGGTCTGGTTATTTTACTAGAATACATCTGTTGTGGTGATATGAAAGATTCTATTGGGCATGCTTTCTTCCATTGTTTATGAGTGTTATGTAGGCTTGTTGAAGGCTATATCATCCACATGCTTCAGGAACAGTTTCATACAGCCTCAACTGAAATTGGAACCTGAACAAGGTAGCATGACAGTTATTGTAACATTTTCTGCATCAATAACTGTCATTGTACTTTGTACCAACACACATATATGAAAACCTGACAAAAGTAAAAAGCACCTTTGAAACATTACCCTTTTTAAATAATTCAAAAATATATTATGATGCAAATTAAAATTTGGTAAAAATGCCACTGACAGGAACTGAATTCATCAGATCTATTATGTTCTTGGAGATGTCTGGCCAAGATATATTGAAGACAAAAGTTATTTTATAGAATGTTTTCTAACCATTTTTGGAATTTATGTTATTAGAATTGCTTAATATCTTTTAGGAACTTACCACCCGTGAGTATTATTTGCTGCATGGCATGGAATGCCATCCTCTATAAAAGTAGTGCTTCTTTTATCCAATTAACTGTCAATGAATATTGGGAATGGCTCTTGGGCCTTGTACAGAGTGAATATTATTGTAAAAACAAATCTAGTAGATATATTAACTTCAAAATATTTTTGTTTCCTACAAAAGCCTCAACCAAAACAAAGTAGAGTACAAAGCTACCAAAATCAGGTAGAAACGGTATTCATTCAATTTTGGCAATTATATTTTAAACCCCATTGTTAAAAATCAACTTATATGTATTGCATATCCCTCTGGTGGGGTGGTCTTGGTCACTGTGCCAATTAATACAATGTTGTATTCTCTCTCTCTCTTCTCTTGTCTTCTCCCAAACGAGTAGTGAAATGTTTTTGGGTCCAGAGATAAAAGGCATCAACAAAGGGAATTTTAACTTAACTAGTTTATTAATGCCAATGTATACATCTCTAACTAGCCTGTGGGGTTGCTCTCTCACCCCACCCGGGAAGCCACCCCCAGACACAAAAAGAAAACACGTCTACAAACCTATTACAAACTTTCTATATGACTTTACATATTTCCTTAAAATTTTATTTTTATTACTTTTTATCACAGTGTTTGGCTTAATGACATAAACACTGCAATAAAAGTAACAAAATAAGATAAAATAAAAACTAGTTACAAATTAATGATTATCATGTCTCAATTAATATGATTTCTTTCTTCTTTTTTTTCCATTACAGAAGCTCCACCATCTCCAGTGACTTTAGAAGCAATTAATATTGGCAAAGACTCTTTAACATTATCTTGGATTCCTCCAGAAGATGCTTCAGTTACAGACTACCTTGTTGAAATTAAAACTGTTGATCAAGAGAGTTGGAGCAAAGTGGCCAGAGTTCCCAATAAAGTTACCAACTTTTCAATTAAATGTCTTCCTGAAGGAGCTGAACTTCTTGCCCAAGTTATTGCTGAAAACAAATATGGTGCAAGTGAACCCACAATGCTTAATATGCCTGTTAAATTAAAAAATAGAGACGGTAAGCATTTATTTTTATACCTTTTTTAATATTCATCCTGAAAATGTAAAAATTACTTTGTAAAAAAAATAAAAAGAGAGCAACTCATTTTGGATTAAAGAAATGTGTATTTCTACATTATTTAAAAGAACTTATTTTTAATATTTTTATTTTTTGTTCATATATAATCAATCTATGAAATGAATCTCCAGAATCAAAATTATTGTTTAATGAGTTCTTCCACATTTCTTTATATATATTTGTTTATATGTTTCAGATTTGTGCTTGCCCAAATGTTGTTGTAGGCTTTTAGCAAAAAACATTCATCTCATTTAAGACACATTTCATTCAGTGTCCTTCATCAATTCAGATGTACAAATTGAGTTACTCCATAATTTATATCAAAAATAGAAAAATACATGATATATATATTAGAATCAAAGTTGAATGTTAGAATGAATGGTTCTGAGAAGAAATGTGTCTAGTTTATATTAGTATTAATATTAAATTCATTTGCTTCTCTCTTCTTCCATTTCACCAAGCCAATTCCTATTTGTATTATTTTTGTTATAATGTCTGTCATTGGGCCAAGTTTTTAAATATAAAAGAATTAAATAATTATAATTATAAAATTACTTGAATAATATTTTGGGAAAAATCAGCTAATGGAGTCTAGACTTTATTCAAATACTTAATGTCTGTAAAATGGATAGTAGAAGATTTTAAAAATGTATTTACTATAAAGTAAAATCTACAAAGAAAATGTTATCTCAAATCTGACAAAAAGCAGGTCAAGGTATTGAATTGCATAAAGTTTAAGAACAGCTTTATTTTGTCCAGTGCTTCATGTACACTTGATCTCAGTTTAGAGATAAAACGTCATCATTTCAAATATATTGCATTTAATATTAAATATTCTTAATATGATGAACACTACTCTTTCATGTAGTTATAATTTTTAAATAAATTTCCAAAACTTTTAATAAATATCTTCATTCAACTGACCTTTATTTTAATAAAGGCATTACATGAACTATTTCTTTTTATTTTATATTCAAAATAGTTTTATTTTGATAACATTTAACTTTCATACTGAATTATATATTTATAATTTTTAATGACAAGCTGACTTTATTCATTATACATATAACTCTGCAGTTCTGTTTTGTCATGTGAATAATATTTTTTACTATAAATTACACATAAAAAGTACCCTAATTTCAAGCTAATGCAAGATATTATTCTTTAGGTCTTTTGCTTTTCTGCAATATGAAGGAGTTAAGCTTACCATTATTATGAATAATAGGGATGCAGTAATTGGAAAGCTAGTTATAAAGTCTCATACTGAGCATCATAGATATTTTATTGATTTGCACTACATTAGCAAATATGTTGATCCATTTTAATCTCCAGAATGCATTTTTTAACTTAAATGTTCAATTCTTAAAAATATTTATTTTTCTTTTATTGTTTATCATCATAATTAACAAAAATATGCTTAACAATTTTGACTTAATCAGTTTTTATGTTTTTATATTTATTTTTTTGTTTACTATCCATACTGAAACCATAACTTCTTTCATTCATTTCCCTATGTTCTTGTTCTGGTATGATATATTTTCACAAAGAAGAAAATTTCCTAAACAAACTTTTGAATATTTACTGATCCAAAAACATTTTATTTGTTCCACTTGAAATTTACAAAAGAAAACTTATTTTGATTTAAGACAATCTCAATCAGTTTTTATGTTAATTCATTCATTTTTTTCAATTCTAATTTTTGTTTTCTTTCATTTTTATTCCTTATCTTAATTTTTTTTTTATAGCAACAACATGTACTGTGAAACACATTCAAAGTTTTCCACAATTTAGGCAACTAGTTTTCACTTTTGATTTAAGTTATATTTCAAACTTTAGTTTGCAAACTACAACTTGTATAATGCTCTGAATTCTTTTTATTAAACATATAATAGTCTTATTCTGTCAGTAATACTTGCTGATCACTAACAATCCCTTTTCCCTAATTTTCAATGTAAAACATTTAGTGTTAAAACTTCTTAAACCAAATTTTTATTAAAAATTTTATGTTTAATCATCAAACTCCTTCACCCACCACCATCAGAAATATCTAATTTATTATTGAAAAAAATGACAAAAGAAAAGCAGGGAAGACAGTGAGTAATAATAAGTAAAGCTGAAATCTTGCCTACATATAGTCAGCATTAAAATACTACTCTGATTAGTGCTTAATTTTTCCTCCCACTACCATAATTTGCTGTGCAATTAGTGTAATTATGAGAGTAAATAAATGTTTTGTTGCATTTGTTTAATATAATTTATCTATGATAATGTAGCTCTTATAAATGACAAGTTGTAATATATTTAATCCATATAGATTTTACTCAATGTTTTCATTCCTCTGAGGAAAACATAGTGTTTGTATGTTTTTCAATTATTTGTTGCCTGACATTCAAACACTGATAATGTCTCTGTCCTGGAAATATTTTAACACTCGCTCTACTTGCTCTGCATTGTTACTAAGTACACAAGAAGTATTTACCTGTTTAGCAACTAAGTCACATGAACATGTAGTAAAACACTATTCTGTTAAGTCTATATCAGTGGGACACAAGGTGAATGTTGACTAGATAATGTGGTGACATCACTTAAAGAATGCTTAGTACTGACTACTGCCCCAACACCAGCACTGTGGCTAGTTAACACCTCTGCTGTATAGACTTTCTTCAGTTATTTAGCTGTAGTGAAACTACAATTGTCACTTGGTTTATGTGAGTTATAGTTTCTTGGTTCAGTTATTTATCAAACAATCTTCTTATTCATCTTTTGTAGAAGCAAAATTTGCATTCATTTTAGCTAAATGAATTTACATTCAATTGAAGTAAACTATTCATCATTCTTGGTTTAAAATAAATATTTTTCCTCCCTTTTCAATTTCAAATGAAACAAATGAACATTAATAAATACCTTTTATTTGTTACTTTTGTATTACTTATTTAATTCCTGGCATTATTACCATTAACAACTCTTAAAATAAGTGCATGAAGTTACCACATACATGTTCATTATTATTATTATTAATAGTAGTATTAGTATTTGCAATTTTTAATTTTAATGTTAACAAAATCTTAATACCATTCCTAAATTATTTCATAATCTTCATTATATTTTGGTAAACCATTAAATGTCTTTCTATATATAACAAAACTATCAGTAATTTTTAATTGTTCTGTTACCAAAGAATTAACAGGTAAATGTTGCCTTTGACACTTTTTTTGTTGATTATAATTTGCATGAAAATGTAACAATTACTTTTTCTTCAGAATATAATATTTCTTTTTAGATATTAACACTAAGAGTTGCATGCACTTAATTGAGTTTCAAATATTTCTTTTCAGAACTTGAGAATATTTGCATGCTGGTCACTTTGTTCTAGATTTATGAATTATTCCACTTTTGAATACTGATTGTTGGAATACATGCCTGGTTTGTGATGATATCTTTTCTTGCATGTTTTTGCATAGTAACTTAATTTACTAAAAAGACAAATTTCTTATATAAAATTTGATTTATATTTAAATAATATGATGTGAATATTAATCTTATATTTTATATAGTGATTAGCATGACCAATATATATATATATATATCAACTGTTGAATTTTAAATCATAAACGTAACAGTATTATATTCCTTGCAGAATTATTTTTATCATTATAATCTGTCTGGATTTATTTTAAATTCTACTATAAATAATACACAATTTATATATAAATATAAATCATTCATTATTTTGAGGCATTTATAAATAGTAATTAAAATTATGTTGTATATGTTCAAGTCAGCTTGATCTCTGTTAATATTTACAACAAATATTTTTGTTATGAATTTCTACTTTTGGTTTTGTTTTAAAATCAGGAGTTTACTAACAGCATGTCTATTTGTAGTATTTTTGTTTTGTTTTTTTAATGAATTCTTGAAGTATAATTTGGTTTCTTGATGTTTGAATTGCTTTTTTGTGTATATCTTGCTTGTGTGTTTTGCATGAACTTATTTTTCTTTCCTATTCCTCTTTTTCAATTGATTAAATATGAAGATATGTATTTGACTAAGCTTGATTCTATGCTATCCTGTGCAAAGCCTTTGTTATTGACATTGCATCTGGGAGCAATGGTCAATATTTATGATTTCATACACTAAACAAATTACACTCATTTATTTTTGCATACAAATTATGTCATCTGGAAGCCTAAAGTTTTATATATAATTTTGTATAATAATAATAATTATTAATAAATCTGGCTTATTTTTTACAGGAATGACATTTCTTATTTATTTAAGATCCTATAATTAATGCATTCAATATTAGAATTTTGTTGTTTGTTAGGAATACCATCTGCACCTACCAGCTCACCTGAAGTTATTCAAATTGGATCCAATTATGTTGATTTATCATGGAGAGCCCCAGAATCTGATGGAGGTCAACCAATCCTTGGATATCAAGTTGAAAGACTTGATTCTAGGGGCAGATGTTGGTTAATCATGAATAAGACTCCACTAAGTGACACTCATTTTAGAGTTGAAAATCTTTATGGATGCACTCCTTATCAATTCCGTGTGAGAGCCATCAATTCTAAAGGCTTAAGTGATCCATCACCAACAACAGCACCAGTCTTTTGCCATGATAGACCCAGTATGTATTCATTTATATATTTCAATTTCTATATAATCTTATTAAGAATGGTGGTAAAAGATAAAACAAAATATATTTTATAAATAAAAAATATGCAAGTAAACAAATCCATCCTAATGCATAAAGATGTGTATTTGAAAAAATAATGAAACTGCCTTAACACACATAATGATTCATGAAAGCAAAATGTACTCAGACATTGGACAATTTATATCTGAACTTTCACTGTGAACCAGAAAATGGTCCAAAATATAGGGGAAAATAAACAAAAAACTTCTTAACTAAGAATTTTATTTGGTTTTTAACTAATTATATATATATATATATATATATATATATATATATATATATATATATATATATAATAATTATTATAATTATTTTTTTAAAAAATATGTCTCCATCACGACACAGAAATAACTATGTTTTTTGAAACCAAAGCTTAAATCCTAAAATTTAACTTTAAAGTTTAAACTTAAAATTTGTTCCATTATCAAGCTATGTTAAGAATAACTATTAGAATGGAACTGAGCACTGAGTTTTAAGTTTAAACTTTAAAGTTAAATTTTAGGATTTAAGCTTTGGTTTCAAAACAGTAATTTCTGAGTTGTGATGGAGACATATTTTTAAAAAAATAATTATAATATTATGCTCAACTTTGTATCAAGCACTGTTTTTTTTAAATAAAAATAATTGCTAAAGAACTCTGGATTATAAATCTGATTGTTCTTTCCTGTTATTTGAATATATATATATATATATATATATATATATATATATAAAATTATTGATACTTTTTATCCCAGAACTTTGGGTCAACATGCTCTTCATACTACTATTATTTTATAACTAGTTTTGATTACTTGTTAAATATTGATTTTTTAAAACTATGACATCTTTACAATATTATATATATAATTTAAAGTAAACAGTTAAATTACTTCCATATGTAATCTGTTTCCTATTTTTTTATATATTATTTAAAATTCTTTTATTTATTAAATATATTTAATATGCTTCAGCCTAAATTTGTTAAAAAAAATAAAATTTATTCTTTCACAATGAAGTTACTAAAATAAGAGTTCCAATTAATCTGGTTTATCTTTTTAGTTAGAAATATATGTCACAGATCCATTTCCATTTGAATCCAATTCATAGAATTGATGTCTGTCTTAATCAGTATAAATTCACAGTTATTCTGATTAGATATGTAAAGTCACAAAGCAACTTATTTATAAACTTCAACTATGCTACAAGGCATTGCTTGATGAAAATCAGATATTTATTATTTTGAAATATTATAAACAATAATAAGGTTTTTCAATAGTATGTAGTAATTCCACCTTCAAAATTATCAGAAATCCATCATGACACTTAAATAGACCAATGACAGCGTCTGATCATATTCAAATTTTTCACTGATATTAACAATATTTGTGAAGTTTGTATGTATATTTTTTAGATTGAAAAGAGTTTTTTTTCACTTGTTAATTACAAGTTCATATCACATATTAATTGTTTCTTTGAATTTGGGTAAAAACCAAGTTTCAGTTTGAATATTTTGTAGTGCCAATCTGGTACATTACAATCTTTGAAATTAATTGTGGAGCTTTTGTATTGTTATTTTTACCATTTGTATATCATGATATTTTGATTTCTTACTTTTCAATTATTTAAATTCAAAAGCTTGTAAGATAAAATTTAGTAAGTTTTTTGTTTGTATTTTTCTTCAATCAAGTCTTTATAATTTCTCCATATATTAATATTTTTTATATTGTTACGCATTTTTTTAGAAACTGAAGCTCCTAAGTTTGTAAAAGAATTTGATGATTTAGATTTGGAAGTTGGTACATCTGCCACTTTTACATGTGAAGTATCTGGAATACCAATGCCAGAAATAACTTGGTATGTTATTTTACTGTAATAACATGTATTCTGATTTTCTCAATAATTTTGTAAAATTTCATGCTTTTTTTAATATGCTACTTATAAATGTTGAGAAAAATATTTGAAAATTGAATTTGTTATTTTTAAGCATTTTATTTTCAAAACAATAAACTTATTGACATCTAAGAGATACAAATAGTTTCTATAGAAAATTGAAGATATTCCTAAGCTTATATATAGTAATTAATTTTCTTACTTCTATGTAAAAGTATTCTCTATCTCATGAAAATATTTTAATAATGCATATCAAAAAACATTTAAAATTACATTACACCAGAATAATGTATAAGTTTTAATAACTCATATTAAAGAAAGCACTATTAAATCAAACTGTACTGATGATGTTGATTGAAATTTCTCAATACCTGATTATATTCTATCAAAGGTACAAAAACTACCGGCAAATACATGATGGTCGAAGGCACATAATTGAGACCAAAGGCAACAAACAAATTCTGACAATTCCAGAAGTAGATTTTGAAGATGCAGGTGATATTCAATGTCAAGCCAGAAACAAAATGGGTATTGCTTCTGTCAAAGCCAGCCTCCAAGTTTTTGGTAAGCAGCCTATTCTTATTTTTATTGTATACTAAGAACTTATATGAGATAAAAGCTTTAAAATATTATAAAATATAATTCATCTACAGTAGCTGTGACATTTGTTAAATGTATATTAATATATTTGTACTTGATATTGATATTTGTTGTAATCAGTAATTTCTGATCTTGTCCCAGAGTGTTGCATATTATATTCAATTTTCATTTTTTTATACTCAATAATAGCAATTCATCTATAAATGTAATCCATCTAAGTCAAACAATTGTTTCATACTTACTTTATTAAACTAAGAGCAGTTTCTACATGGATTTGGATTTCTGAGATAAAGAATTATGATTATTATAAACTGATCAATGTTTTAATTGTTGTACATTTTTGCCTTCTTCATGTGCCTTATATTTAGTAATTTTCTTGGGACCAAATACTTTATTTAACTCATGAGGGTAGATTGTTTTCATTCCATTGTTCATAATAGTTAAATGCTATGAGGCAATGGCCTAGAAGCATAATTTAAGTGCATGATAGTTAATTGCTATGGAATAATATCCTAATAGATATAAGCATTATTCAAGTGCATCTAGTTAGCTAATTATTATGATTTCAATCTGTAGATCAAGCAATAAATTTATATACTCTTGGAAAAAGCAAAAGCAGCATCACAAGGATGGATTAAATAAGAAGGATTAATGAAATATTCTCTAAGATGGGCAATGGAATGAAAACAAGCTACTCATTTTGGATTAGCAAAAGGCTTTAGTTCAAAATTAAATTGCTAAATACAAAAGATATCTGAAGAAGATAAAAAGATACAATGAATGAGATTATAACAATGAATATGAGGATACTACTTTGACTTGATTAGCATATAATAATAAGAGCAAATACTGTGCAATAAGATGGCATTCAAATCCAAATAAATTTGTATTTAAAATTCTCAACTGGCAACACAACTATGATATTTCTTTTAGTAAAATATTTGGAATGAGGATATCACAGATATAAACTAGCAGACTTCCCTTCTCATTTTCTAATATATATATATATATATATATATATATATTGTTTAAAGTGAATCTAACAGAATAAAATTATCTAATATATAAAAATTTAATTTTTACTATTTTAAAAATGTTACAATCATCTAAATGTATAATCGTCTAGGTTGTTTTTTTTAAATATATGTTCTTTTGAGAGAAGTGTATTTTTTATGTGGGCTAGACAGTTTGTGTAAAAATTGTTACAATTGTGTATCTTTTTTGGCTCAGTGGTTAAAACCCACCAAAATTTGTGAAGGATCTTTTCCATTTTATGGAAAATTATTTTTCCACATATATTGACCAATGTGAGTTATAGTCTCAAGCTCTAATAACTTCCCAAATAGTGGGGCAGAGGTGAGCCTAAATTTTAAAATAAATAGGGCTCAGGAGAAGACTTGGACAGCAAGGAAACAAGGCAGGTAATTAACAGTGAAGAAAGCATTTGACATCAAGAGGAGAACACCAAAGAAGGCAACAGTTACCAGCCAGCTGCAGAGAGACCAAAGTTCAAGTGAAAATTCTCATGTGGTTGGGCAGCCTAAAACAAAAAGATTTGGAAAAAAGTTTCCCAAGCATGAACTGTGTGAAGTTAGTAAAAGGGACATTTTTTTTCCAAAAATTACTGTGAAAGTAGGTATCTTCGTTTTTTTTTTCTCAAAGGTTCTTGAACCATTGTTTTTTACAACCTTCTTATATTGTTTTCTCTTTTTGTCATTTACAAAATCCTTGTTTTTCCCTAGCTGTAATTATTTTCCACTTTTCATTGGTAATCCTTGAAATTGTTACCCTGCCTTAATAGGTGCACAAAAAGTGAAAACTTTTATTGTACCTTTTTTGTGTAAACTGTAAATAAATGTGTTTTCTTTTTAAAATTTTATGCAGTGGTTATCTTGTTTCATAATTTGTGCCTATTATTGTATCTTGCTATTTCTACTAAGTTTTTGTGTTTCACTCAAGAACTTGGATTTAGTAGGAATAAATTTTTTATAAATAAGTATTGATAGTGATTTCAAAAGTCATTTTTAACATTTTAATCAGTTATAAGGTTGTATGATTTATTCAGTAAATCTTTCAACTGTTTAATAATGTCAGTTTAGTAAAAGATTAAATTATCCTAATATTAATTTTTCTTCACTTTTGTATATATGATTATTCTTCAAAAAGATGAACTATGAGTTTAATTTGATGATTTTTATATTCAATAATTTATTCTCATATTCTATTTCTGTTTATTTTTAGCTCATGCCAAAGTTTCACTTCCTGCTGCCTATCAACATGGTCTTAAATTCTTTGAAGGTGACACATTAAAAATCCGTTTGCCCATTAGTGGTAAACCAGCACCTGATGTAATGTGGGCCAAAGATGGAAAAGTCATAAAGAAAGACAAAAGGACAAAAATACAAAAGACCGATGCATACACCACTTTGATTATTGATGATGTGACTAAAAGTGATGGTGGTGTTTACCATGTGAATATAAGCAATTACTATGGTGATGAAACTATAGACATCTCAGTGACTATTATTGGTACGAAAAGTTTCTTCGTTTTTATAAAAATTTACTGTTTGATTGGTAATCAATTTTTTCCAATATAATGTAAATAATTATGAAGAGAAAAAATTGTTTAGAAAAAGAAAATTATCTTCAGAAAATATTGCTATTGTTCAAAGGTTACACATTTAGCTGCTGGAAACAAAACCATATTGTTTCATGAATTGTTCAGACATATATTCATATACTTGCTTGCTTTTTCACTACACTGAAAAAATGAATTATTTAACCTTCATGTATATAATTCATTTGATTGAGGCCAGGTATATGTAATAACTCTATAATCCTGTAAAACAGTGGTAATTCACAAGTTAAACTGAAAATATCTGGTTATATATGCTGAAAAGGCAAATGCATATACTATTTTTCGCAGTACTTCTGCAAGATACTAGCAATACTATATTTTCAATTGTGAGAAGTACTCACAGTTTTTTTTCTTATTTTATTGAGGATAGACAGATAATATAATGTTGAATTCTATGTTGGCTTTGCTTAGGCAGCATTTTGTCAGACTCATTATACAGCTTCTTTCATCCTACACATATTCAAGTAAGTTCCTTTTCTATTATGACCTTATACCAAAGAAGTTACTGTGTCGCTTTTCTTTCCATGAATATTTGTCTATATTTGACTTTAAATTTTTAAGGATAAGCTGTTTTTCTTTTATATTCTTTACCACAAGTGCATAGACTATTATACATAGTTTTTTTAGTCATACTTACCTCAAGAGAAAGTTCATCCCTTGTAAGGAAGTTCCTTATTATTCTTTAACATCACTGAATGAGCTCTTCTCACAAACCAGTTTTTGCTTATGACACATGGAGTTTTTAGTGATTTTTTTACTACTTACTAGTCTAGATTTGTGTGGAAAAAGTTGATGTACATAAGTTATAGTTTAAGTAACATATATTTAGACTGCAAGAATTCATCTAAATTATGTTAAATTCAATCAATGTCTGTTTCATTTTTTATTGCATTTTTCCAATTTTTTTAGAAGTTGTACATTGGGATCAAAATTGTAGATAAACTCTCTGAAATTCATGTTTTGTTCTTTTTTTGTTCAAGTCTCAGTCATTGTCAAGAACAATTTTGATCCCACATCTTATTCAAAAATTGGAAAAACATAATAAAAAATTAAACAGACAGACCTTGTTGATTGAAAATTTGTTTGAATTAATAGTTTAGTAGACTTTTACAAACATTATGACTATCACCAGGAAGGATATCCTGATGCTGTTAAATTGATGCAAGAAAGCAAAAGTAATTTCAGTAAATAACTTTTTATTCATTTTTGTATACTACTAACATTATGATACACTTCTAGGAACACAAGTGTAATTCCTTAAAGTAGTTCATCTGGTTGTACAACAAAACTTGGAAATTTATGTTCCTTCTCACATGAATCTTAATATAGCTTTTAATTCAGAGCCTTCTTCCTCCTTAATGTATTAACCTACTATCAATATATGTTATATAATATATATATTTTAAATTTAAGGAGATTATCTAATATAATATTATAGAACATATGGATGAAAGAGCAGAGTAAAAATATTATTTCTTTTAATGTTTATACTTATTTTCATAATTTTTTCTTTTCAGAAACAAACATTAAAATATGTGAAAATTTATAATGTTTTCTTTTATTTGTTATTCAACTTCTACATTAGGTACTTTTCATTATAATCTTACAATTTTAAATCCATATAAAACTGACTTGAATTAAATTAAGTTTTTGAGTTAATATTTTTAAAGCCTTAAAGAAAATGGAGTTAACTTACTATAATTAGTTTTTGCTAATAATATATATATATATATATATATATATATATATATATATATATATACACACACACACACACACATACACAAATTTTTAATGTCTACCAGTCAGAACCCCACACACAAGCCACCAATCTGCCACTAGTGTTTACTGCTGGTGGTCTGCTGTTGGACCGCCAGTGTGTTCGTCTCAGCAATGTTACTACTGATAGGCCGCTAGAGGCCCACCGGTGGCTGCCACAAGAAGACCACTGGGATTGTCATCATAGCCCACCAGCGCACCTTAGCAGCTTGTGTGTAGGGAAGTAGAATTTTATTTAAGAGTTGTTGCTATTTTTAGAATAAAATTATCCTCTCTTAATACTTAAAGCATCAACATAATATTTTAATGATATAAAGCAAGTCAAACTCTTCCTTTTGTTTCTAAAGTCTAAATTTAATATCAACTAATTTGGTACCTGTCACTTCACTGACAGCTAGATGATCAAATTTCAACTCTAAATTATTTGTCCATTTAAAATACAGCATTTATTAAAAAATATATTAAGTTTAGATAGAGAAAGAGCCATAAAAATTACTTCAAAGGGCAGCACATTTTGGCTTATGCTCCTTTCTTGCTACCCAGGCAGATAGAAAGGTAAATTAATCCTCATCACACAGATAGCCATGTCTATTTTATTCAAATTGTGTGTGTATTTACATTTACATGTGAACATGTGTATTGTAATTCAATAACAGGCCTAAACCAATTTCTACAATATTCAAAATAATTTTATTTATGACTGAATAATTTCCCAAAACTTCAATAAAATCTTATAATTATCTGATTTTTTAGGGTTTAAAAATTAATGTTTTTTGTTTCTTGATCCAACTTTAATTTTATTATTTTATTTAGAGTGGGGGTTGTCCAGACTGAGTGGGAATTCCAATATCTTATTTCAAACTCAGTCATATTATGTGTGTATATGTGTGTCTGTCTGCATACATGTACATTAAATAACAAGCATGTGTAAGTTACTCATATACAACAGACATATGCATAAACCTTAGATACACACATGCAAAATCACACAGTATAACATACAGAGAATCAACTCTTCTTTCATAATATGAGTTTCATTTTATTTTTATAGGTGCTCCTGATGCTCCTGGAAAACCTCAAGTATCTAAAATAACTGATCATACTGTCCATCTTATCTGGGCAGAATCATCTTCAGAAAAACATTCTCCTGCCACTGGCTATATTGTGGAGAAACGTGATCTATCTACTGGAGTTTGGAGATATGTGACTTCTACAAATGTTTGTTATGCAGATGTGGACTGCCTGGAGGAATACAAGCAGTACCAATTCCAAATCCGAGCTGAGAATCTTTTTGGACTAAGTCTTCCAAGTGAACACTCAGATACCATCATCACCAGGAAAGCAGCAGAAAAAGTAGATTATGATGAATTATGTAAGTTATGCTATACTATCATTATAATAAGAAGATATAACTAAGTATCTGTCTATATTTCTGAGATGAGGTATTATGTACACTATTTACACTGTTCAGACGATCATCCTCATCTTTGTTGCCATATTTATCACAACATTTCAGCCGTTGTATGCCCCAGCCTTCTTCAGGTGGTTAAAATGTTGTGGTAAATATAGCAACAAAGATGAGGATGATAGTCCGAACAATGCAAATAGCATAACTAAGTATTCTTTAATAGTTATTTTTCTTGTAAAATTAGAATTAATTTATAATTAAACAATAATTACAACATTTTATATTATCTACAAGTATTATATTTTTATAATTTTAAAAAGTTTGTTTGTGGCAAACTCAGTTGGTACTCAATCCAGGCTTGTTGCCAAAGTGTTTTGAGGATGGTGTAGCCTTGAAATCAAGAGTGGGAAGCTGTAAATAAGAATTTGCACAATAAATTAGTTCTCATCATTTTTGGTGGGGTTGATTAAGCAGGAAGAGGATCTTGACTAGAGTCATTTTCAGTTTAATTAAATCAACCGTTACAACCAAAATAAAGAGTTTTCAAACTCAGCTGTCTATAATGTTTTGTGTCATTAAATTTTTAAAAATCTATCAGATAAGATACTAAGTAAATAATAATTTTTCTACTATATTATAACATTATCCCACCAATAACTGCTAAAATTCATTGTTATTTTAGACCTGTATCTATTTTTATACATTTTTGTATATTGTACATATAGAAAGTGAAAGTCTAAAATTGATTCTACCCTTACCCATGATAGAAAATGAAACCATGGTCACCTGCATAATAGATTGGAACATTCACCACTACACTATCAAGGAATTGACCACATAATTTTAATACTTAAAATTAATGTCTGGGCAGCTTGTTGAGAGCATTAATGAGCAGACTAGCTCACTTTATATACAAATAATTTAAGCTAGTTGTAGCTTTGAATTTGTTTCGTATTTTTTTTTCATACTCCATTCCTCTTGGTTTATAGGCAGCTGAAAAAAAATACCAAACAGTCCTGCCCTGGAGTTTTCTTTCCAACTGATTTTAGATAGATATAAAAGCAAAGCTATTTCAAAATTACTGGTGTAGGTTTCCATTACTTTCAAGATGCAAGGTGTTTCTCCTTAGTATGATGGAGTTGATATTACCATGACCTAGCTCATGACAGAGTTGATTTGTCTTGTTAATCCCCTGTTCACATTTCAGTAGAAAGAAGTTATTTTTTTTACAATGTGGGTAGTGATAATTCTATATTTAAACATTCAGCCTTAGGATCAACATCAGTAGAGGTTTTGTAACTATTTCTATGCTTTAATTTTATTCAAATAAAATCTACCTTTCATAAATAATTATGTTGATGTGATAAATATAATGCTACTAGATTAAAAATATTTTCTTCAAAAGATAGGAAACATTAAAAATGATTTTATTTTACTGAAGTTTATTTATAACTTTTATTTCTTATGCAAGAAAATACAATGTAATTTATAAGTAGAGATATAAGCTCTTAAAAATGAAATCAAGTAAATAATAATTTTTCCTTTCATGTTTCCAGATGATGCCACCTACAAAGGAAAATCCATTGACATTAATCAAATGAGAGGTGATGTTCTTAGCAAATATATAATCTGTGAAGAACTTGGCAGGTAAGATAGTAACACTTAACTGTAACATTTTTTCTTTATTTCAAGTTTAGAATTTTTTGCTGAAGAAATAAATTAAATCATCACTTTAGTAAATATTTTTAAATAAGTTCATGCTTTATTAGGGTTTTTCTATCAACCTGTAAACATTTGTCAAAGATAATTTAAGTCTGAGTTATAGCATAGATTTACACACACAGAAACACAATGGTATCGTCTGAAATCATAAAAATTTTAGCACACGTCCATATTACATTGAAACACCAGTTCTTGTACAATCATCAAAGTTAAGCAATGTCAAACCTAGTCAATCCTAAATGGATGGATGCTTGGGAATACCAAGTTCTGTAAGCTTGGATGTGCTGGTGATGTAATGGATAACAACTCAGAATTGGAAATCAGAGAGCCAAATTCCAATCAAGATCAGGTTCATTCTCTTCACTTACACATAAATACCCCTGGGAAAGGTATGAATCCATCTCTTCCCCCTCCAGCTATGGATTAATTAGTAGAACATGTATCAGTAAATCATTATTATCTCCAAAAGATTCTTACAATCTAAAAAATATTTTCTGGTTTTAAATAACTTGTAAAAGTTGATAAGCTGTAAAAAAAAAATCAATCAATTGTAAAGATTTTATGAAAATAATTATATGTTATTAGCACTCAAATTTTAAACTGTTGAAAATTTATGATTCTCACAATTTATGGTATTTTTTTAAAATAAGGATTTAAAGTAAATACAAAACATGTAAGTGGACTTTCAAATATATATATTTTTTATAATTTTAATCATTTCACTTCAAACAAGGCAATAATGCCACTAAGATGCAAGGGGTTACTGGGTGGGAAAGAGAATGAGAAAACTTTAATAAGGAGGAAGGACAATAAAAGAACAAGATTCAGGAAGACAGAAGATGGCAAGTCACATTGTATTTAAATTTTTGAAGATCATATGTTGCAGGGAATCAAGAAACCGGAAGAGAGTTCCACAGGTGAGAAATGTGAGAAAAGAAACTATTACAATAGAATTTATGGTTACATCTAGCTATTTAAACAATAAAACATTGAGGCCTAGTTGCCAATCTAGTAGCACGTTTAAATTCATGCAATCAAGGCACCAAGAAGAAAAGCTCATCAGAAAACTCATTTATAGAAAAGACTGAGGGAAGGTATAACAGGCCAGTGGGAAAGTGACTGAAATCAAGATGTCAGGTTAGGAAAAATTACATTACAGACCCTTCTTTGGATTTTCTCAAGAATCTTAAGACCAGATATGGTAGAAATATTCATACTGAGGATATTCAATACTCAAGATGCACCAGACCAGATATGGTAGCAATATTCAATGCATGGATGAATGGCAGATTTATAAATGTGCAAGATGGATTCTGATGAGAGAAATTGTCTGGTATGACACAGTGAACCAACTTTCCTAGCAGCAAACTTAGCAATTGATTTATATCAGTGGAAAACATGAGCCCAAGGAGACACAAAAAGTTGCTCTCTTGGAGGTTAGCCATGCTGAAAGAAGGCAGAAAAGGTTCTTTATGTTGATTAAATGATACCAGTTTTGTTTTGGAGGCATCCAAATTTACGAGCCATTCCTTGTTCCAGTTAATCACTGATTGGAGGTCATTTTCAAGAGCAGCTCCCAGTTTTACTTTATCGGATCTGTTGGACTTTGCTACTAAGACAGGAGTAAATAGCTGTGTCATCATATCGGGAACTGATGATATCAGGAAGTTTGTTGATGAAGATAAAAAACAATGTAGATCCAAGAATAGAGCCATGGAGTTCACCACATTAATGTGAAATGATCTAGAAGCATATCTGTTCAACACAACCTTCATTACACAATTTCTTAAGAATGACTGAACTAAGCCAAATATTCATCCAGAGACACCATAGCCCTTGAGCTTGTGGAAAAGGCTATTATTATTATCCAAACCAAATATTTTCAAAATAAGACTTAAAGGTTAATAAAATTTGACAAGTACTAAAGTTTCTCTTACTCTAACTTTGAGTATAAAAACTATATCTTCCCAGGTATGAATGGTTACATTTGTAAATTACATTGCTGTTGCTATTTTATTCTTGCTAATAAAATTTTTCTTTCATAATTTTATCATACTCATTTGTAATGATTCATATCTTTCTTGTTTTCATATTTGGATATAGATCAAGATTTATTTTCCCATAAGTTACAAAGAATTAGATACATCTTTATATATCATAAAAATTAGTTAATATCACAACAAAAATTATCTAATAATATTTATAGTTCTTAATATTACATTTCCAGAATTTAGGCTATATTATTTTAGGATAAGAAAAATAAAAATAAAGATTAATAATTTTGTATAAAATACTGATACCCATAAAATAATGTTTATTTTGCCCCCAAAATTATTTTGATATAAAAAACACAATAAAATATTTTTAATGAAATAAAAATATTATCATTTTATGCATCACTTAGTAATTTATTGATTTAGTTAATAATTTATTCATTTTTCCTCTTTTAATATTGATATTATTTTTTCAGCTTTTGTAATAAACACACAAATATACAACAATGAGATCATATTATCAAAGTAAGCATGAATGAAGATCCTATATCATTGAGTTTGAAATTAGACAGGAATTGTTTTATTCTTAGATAACTGTTAGACCATTTTAACAGCATTTTATTAACAAAAATCTCACTATGATGTGATGTTTTTGTTATGTTATAGTAAAATATTTACAAACAGAAATCAGATCATTATAATATAGATAATTGTAACTTTTATGAAAATAACTTCTTTGTTAAATGTAAGTACAATTTTTAAACTAATCATCTTTTAAAATTATAGGGGTGCTTTTGGAGTTGTACACCGTGCTGTTGAAAGAGCTACAGGTAAAAACTGGGCTGCAAAGTTCATCAAATGCAGACCAAATGAAAAGGAAGCTGTTCGTAGAGAAATTGATCTGATGAACAGTTTACATCATCGCAAACTATTACAACTGCATGAAGCATTTGATCAGCCAGGAGAAATTGTAATGATCCTTGAATTGTGAGTATTCTTAACCTTATTTTCCTAGAAATAAAACTATAGAATCCTCCTATGGTTCTTTGCTTGAATGTTTTTCAATGTGTTAAATGGATTGAAAAATCTTTCATTTTATGGTAATATTTTCCATTAAAAATATCTAAATAGAAAAGGGATAAATTTTATTTGATCTTAAACATATATTTACTTACATTTGCGTCTGACTTTCTACCCTTAATTATTTTTCTTTTTCAAGTTCAAATTGATCATTATAGGTAAACTCAAAGAATATACTGATTATTACAGGAAAATTGAGTTATATGTGGCAGCAATTTTGCATGTCTTATTTCCAAAGCAGATATTTAAAATATACAATATCACAAATATGATATTAAAATTTTCTCAAAGTTTAAGAATTGTTGGTGTTTTTAAAAATCTAAAAAATAAGATATTAAGAGGGATGCTGAAAATATCATGTGCTGAATATGTGAGCAACAACAAAGTTCTAGAGACAATGGAAACAAAGACACACTTATACTTAAAATCAGGAAGAGAGTTGAAATTTCTAATAATAATAATGAGGAAAGAGGGCTTGGGAAATTTGATACTCATAGGACAAGAAAGACAGTAAAAGACAATGCATTACCTACCTGGTGAACTTGAGTGAATGGATAGTGGAGCTTCAGCTTTTTACCTTCAGTGTCCTAAGTATGTAAAAGTTATAAGAATTTGGAAATAATAAAATTATTTTATCTTTATTCGACACCATAATTCTGCATAATCTTTCTTCATATACACAACTGATCTCTGTAGTTTGTTTACATTTATTTTGTGTGCAATTTTTATTTTCTTTTAAAAATCACTTCACGTGTTACTCTTAAAAAAGACATTAGGGAACCCTAACTATGTAATATTACAAATACATTACAATATTTTAAATATGTCTTTAATAAAGAATTGTTTTTTTGAACATTTTTCATTCTTTTTGATATTTAAATTTAATTTTAAATGAGTTATTTACTTAATTTTTAATAGTGTGTTACTTCAGGTTCATTGAGATTGAAAAAGAGACAGATTCATGCACACATGTTCGCTGCACTTTATTTATATAGAAAACTAGCAGTAGAGCCCGGCGTTGCCCAGGGATGTAACAATAAGAGATAGATCAAGCATCGACCATCATAAAGACTGCAAAATTAAATTGACAAAGATTATTGTTTAAGGTTGATGGACATGCATGTCTTAATTAGTTTTTTTTTTTTTTACAAATTGGTCAAGCCCAAACTCAAACAAAAACATTGTTTTCAATCGTTATGAGTCTACCGATTGAATAGAATTTTATTATAAACAATTGTCTTGTAAATGAAATTTTTAAAGCATTCTGATTGTAAAAATAAAGAAAAAGTGTGCAAGACAATAAGAAACACTACCTGCCAAAAAGAAAAGTGAAGTTTTGTTGAAATCGGTTGAAAAATGTAGGAAATCCGATCCCATATATAAATGAACACAGAAACACAAACAACCTGGGTTTTATAATAAGTATAACTCGATATGAGTTGTCCCCCTTTCATTCTGATGATGCCTCTTAATCGTGTTTTCAAATTGATTTTGTGCAAAAACAATTGTGTTTTTCCAATTTTTGGCGCTGTTAGAACAACTGCAAGGTAATTTTACGTAGTCCTGTGAAGTTTTGTTGAAATTGGTTGAAAAATGTAGGAAATCTGATCCAATATATAAACGTACAGACACACACACACACACACACACACACACACACACACACACACACACACAATCTGCATTTTATAATAAGTAAGATGATAATGAAAATTATATTTTAAAAGCTTAACAAAAAAATAATGTATGAACAATGTTTATCTAAAACAAATTTATTGGAAAACTGCCTGAGTAAGAATTATACTAAATTATAGATAAATTAAGATTGTTTATTGCTATAGTTTTATACAAGAATCATTAAACAGTAAAGTCTTATAAATAAAACCACATACAAGAGTTGTGCTCCAAAGTTTTTCATTTAGATATTATTTAAATAATTGTGAATGTTTATTTCTGTTATCTACAGCCTGAGTGGTGGAGAATTGTTTGATCGTTTAGTATCAAACAATTACATCTTTACTGAGGAAGATTGTATTATTTATATGCGTCAAATCTGTCAAGGAGTACAGCATATGCATCGGCAGAACATCATTCATTTGGACTTAAAGGTCAGTTAAAAAGTAAACATACTCTTATTTCAAATGATTTTTAAAATTATCATCATGATATGTAAATTTTCACAAATATTTGAGGGAGAATTTTTTTTCTTTCAATAGATGAATATATAGTAATAAATTTTGATTTACTGGTATACAGGTGGAATTTCAGGTTTTCAATCCACTAGAATTTATGGATATAGATTAATATTACATTAATATATATGGATAAATATGTTTTTATGTCATATGTAGTAATAACAAGAATAATAATAAAAATGGGAGTAGACTAAAATTATTGAAAAATTTTCTCAGGGAAATAAAATACAAGAATTTACATTTTTTGAAAAAAAACAAACCTGTTTTCAAAAATAGATTATTAATTAGCATACTTATAGCACAATAAAAACATCTCATTTAATTATCCTAAAATCAGCATGAGATAAATTCTAAAATACCTTATATTGTTGTATATTGTATCTAATTTACAAAATAAATATTCTGATTTCAGGTTTTTACACACTGTTAATAAATGGACAAACTATATGGTCTTACATTTAAGAAAAATATCAATTTTATATTTAGTCAGTAGATAATTTATCATTTCTATGTATCCAAGTTTGCATATTAAAATAAGGAATCAATTCCAATGTATATGTTCACGAAACATTGCACAATAATTTACATTTTTTAAAACTTGTGTGCAGGTCTTGGGTAATTATAAAATTATGTTTGTAGAATTTCCCTGCTTATTTTAATTGTATCCTTATTTTTGTGTTATTTTATTTCAGCCTGAAAATGTCATGTGTGTAACAAAAGACAACACTGATATAAAACTCATTGATTTTGGTCTGGCCCAAAAGATTGAAGAGGGGAAATCTATCAAAGTCCTTTTTGGTACTGCAGAATTTTGCTCTCCAGAAATCATTAACTATGAACCAGTTTCTTTCAGTAGTGATATGTGGTCTCTTGGAGTTGTTGCATATATGCTGTAAGTGACACTCATATTATCTAGATTACTTCATTTCAAATCAACTTTCATTGTTATTGTTTTTATATTTAAATATAACTTGAATTTATTTATACTTTTTACAGTTGTAAATAAATTGGTTTTAAATGAATGGGAAAATAAATTGAAAATGTTATATTTTGGAATTTTAAATAAATCACCATGTGAATCAAAAGCTCTTTAGAAAATATATATACATCTAAAATAATTTAATTTTTATACATTTTTAGTACCTTTTGTATGATCAATTAAAATATCATTTTCAAGTTAAAGACTGTGTTTAATTTTTGTTTTGAATACATATACCAGATATCAATAAAATATATTACTGCTCAAAGAAAATAAATGATTAGAAATATTTTTATGAGGTTAAACCCATAAATTTAAATTCTTTAACTGCTATTTTGCATTAAAAAATACTTAATTTTCTTAAATAATAATTATGTATATCTATTATTTAACATTTTTCCTGCTTTCTAGATTGAGTGGCTATTCTCCATTTGCTGGTGATAATGACCAAGAAACATTTACATACATCAATCATGTTGATTTCGATTTCGATGATGAAGTCTGGGATTATGTCTCTGATGATGCCAAAGACTTCATCGCCAATCTCCTCTTGAGAGACAAAAGGTAAATAACAGAATTTGGTCTCCCTTCATTAAATTTACACTTTTTTATTCATTATTTTTATATCAGGGATTGCAATCTGTTGTAATATACAGCTATAATAGGACTCATTTTTAATCATATCACATGTGAAAATGTTTCATAGAGTATGACACAATTCTGTAATCTTTTTTCAGAAATACACTAGAGTATAAAAGTTTGATTTAATTATTATCCATGTAAATTATAAAAAAAAATGATTGTAAGGCAAAGAAATGTGCATTATAAACAGATACATGTAAAATGTCACTGCATTTTTCCATCTGTGTTTTACGTATATTTACAAATCAATTTTTATTTCAGAGAAAGAATGACAATTGATGATGCTTTGAATCATCCTTGGTTAAATGTAAGTTATCTGTTATTTTCCAATCAGTGAACAATTTTTTACATGCACTGAACTTAATTAGCAAAGCTAAATTTTCACTTTCACCACCCGCGATATCGCTTTGCCTTTTTTTTTTCTCCAAGTTCAAAATGGTTTGTTTTTATTCAGATTTTTATAAATAAGATTTTAGCTATATGCTTATAAACATGTGAATTATTTTAATGAACATTAGAAATATAATTTTAATAAATTTAATGAATTATTCCTTTATCTGTTTTAATCAGATTTATGCCAGTATGAAGACAATAATCAGGATGGAGATCTTAGTCATTTAAATTAAGGAAATGTATGCTTTATATTTACTAAAAGAAAATAAAAGTTGATATTTGCCTATCTATCTATTTATTTTAGCTCAAGATGACTTATAAGTAATTAACAGGAACAGAATTAAATGTCTACACTTTAACCTGTAGTCTCAAAATTGTATTGCTAATTAATTATTGTAGGATGATCCCTTTCCCCCATTAATGGGTCTGTTTTGAACACATATATTCAGGAGAACTCTGCTGATATTCAGAGTTCATTAAAGCTTAAATGATTCAGGTAGTCCATTGCCTGGCTCAGCTTGTCAACTTCTCTGCCTCTGGGCAGAGAGGAACCCAGACGAGGCTATGCCAAAGGGCAGAGTCTTGTTTGGATAGGTAGACAAACCCAAACCCGTTATTACGGAGTCTACAGGGAATTTTTGCCTGAGCCTATGGGCTTGGAATGCCCTACATAAAAAACGGCCTTGTGCCACATTTCTCCTTGTGGGGAGGACTTGGGTAAATACCGAGTTCATTAAAGCTCAAAGGAGTCAGGCGGTCTGTTGCCTGGCTGTGCTTGTCGACCTCTCTGTCTTTGGGCAGAAAGGAACCCAGATGAGGCTATGCTGATGGGCAGAGTCTCATCTAGAGAAGTAGACAACAACCTGACTCCATGTATGTTGGGTCTACGGGGATTTTTGCCTGAGCCTATAATTTCGGAACACTCCACATAAAAAAAGGCCTTGTGCCACATCTTGTCTTTGTGGGGAGGACTTGGGTAAATACTGAGCTCTGTTAGGGTCAGGCATTTCACTGCCTGGCTCTGATTGTTAAGCTCTTTGTCTTTGAGCAAAGAGAGACTAAGTCAGAACTCCATCCATTGACAGAGACTCAGCTGATAAAAACAGACAAGAATTGTAGCCGATCATGTGAATGCAGAGGCTGGGTAAATTTTGACCAATGGCCCAGGTGGAAATAGTCAGGTTCCCCACATAAATATTGATCTTATGTAACATCACATCTCAGTGGAGGAACTGGGGATATACTGAGTTCATTAAAGCTAAGTTCGGTTAAGTAAATTTGTATTGTCTCAAACAATTCTACTATAATTATAACTGATAAAAATACATTTTTGACATCAAGTAGCATGCAATAACAAACTGAGTTTATTGCATAAGCTTAAAACATTGGCGAAAGAAGACATATTTTTCATAAACTTTTCAAAAGTTCTGAAGTTAATACGGGATGGAAAACTCAAAAGTTATTGGCCCTATTCTAGAAGCCCTTCCAGATTTTGGGAAGGCGGTTGAACTAAAAACTTTTCAGTAGCTCTTCATATTTTCATTATTCCACATACCTTTGGACTATTATTCTTATCTTTGTAGTTTTTAATACAATGTTTCAACCAACATTCCTTGAGTAGTCTTTAGAAGTTATTTATTACTTTTTTCATTCAATTTATCACAGAAGAAGGATAAAAAATGCACCAGCTGAAACAAAGTTTTAATAATAACAAAGATGATAACTATAGTTTGAAAATATGGAGAATAACATTTTCTATTAGTTAAAAACATTCCACTTAAAATGAACAGTCTTTCAATTACATATCAGTTGAGAATGTTAGCCCAAGAAGGCACAACAAGTCACTCTCCTAGAGGTTAGCATCAGCCATGCTGACAAAAGGTAAAAAGGGGTCTCTCAGATGATTAATAGAGGGCAGTTTAGTTTTGGAAGCATTAAAATTAACAAGCCATCCTTTGCCCCAGTTAACAACAGACAGATAGTCATTTTTGACATCAGCCACCAATTTGATCTTATTGAACTTATCAAGATTTATTATCAAGACAGGAGTAAATGGTTATGTCATCAGCATAGATACCAAGTTGAGAGCTGATGTCATTAGGACGATTGTTAATGAAAATTAAAAACAAAATAGGTCCAAGGATAGAGCCCTAGTGAACACTAGCATTAGTACAAAAGGATCTAGAAGAGTGGCTGTTCAGGATAACTTTTAATTCACGATTTGATAAAAATCACTGAATTTGTCTGGAGACCACTTTTTCTCAAAGTAATGTCTTATAATTATTTTTTAATTTTCAGTAATTTATAAGAAGAAAATATTCATAATATTTTAATAAATCTCAAAGTTTGAAGTACACAGTTTTCACATTTATTAAATAAATTAATGCGTGTACTCATTCTCTATATAAGTTTGATTTATGTTTTTCACTTTCTTACAGTTTATTTAATCTAATAACTTTATTGTTTCTTTCACTATTGTGGATATAGCTGTGATATATTTAATGAGTTTAAATTACTTTATCCAAAATATTTTTAATGTTTGCGTTAAAATAGAAAATTTAAGCAACTCTGAATGTATTTTCAGTTCATTTTTATTCAATCCAACTTTATTATATCACTTGTTTTTAATTAAACTGAATTCTACAAAATATATCATTTAAAAACGCAATATTTTAAAATGTTGAAAAATGTTAATTTTCTTTAATTTAATCATTACACTGATTCTAGAAACATGATGCAAGACAATAGACAGCAGTATTATTTATATTTTAATTTTATTAGCTGAACCATCATTTTTTTTCTAGTATTTACTTTCATCTTAACTTTTTAGTTGATTTTTATAACAACTTTTTATTCAGGCCATCAGACTCTGGGGAAATTTGGACTCATGTCTCTTTTGAGAATTTTACATCTTTGCAGAAAAACTGATTTAATCTATAAATCTTTATTTCATGAACTGTATCAGTACCATTTCTTTTTTACACTAATAGTATTAGCAGCAGCAGTATTATTAGCATGAGTAAAATGTTGCTAGAAAAAGAAGATAGAAAACATAGACAAAAATAAATATTCATAAAAAACTTAATATTTTAGAAAAACAGACATTAATATTTTATTCAGATTTCAAATTTAATAAAAAATATATACATTGACAATTGCTTGATTTAACAACCCAAGAGAAGTAGCTTTAAAATTAAGAGTCCCACTTTTTTCTTATTTATGGTTTATACCCATTTCTACTGAAAAGAGAAAACATTTGACACCTACAATTTTGAAACTCAAAGGTTAATATTAAATGTATTTTAATTAAAATGAAATTGAGCCATCAGATAGGAAACTAAAGAAAACTTCATTTACAAATTAGTAAATATAGCATAGGCATGGTGGAGTAATGGATAGCAGCTCGGATTAAAGAATCAGAGAGCCAAGTTTGAATACCAATCATATCTATTGCTTTCACTTACGTGCTAATACCCTTGGGAAAGGTATGAATCCTCTTCTTATCCCCCCAGCTATGGGTAAATAGTAGGACAGACCAGGTTCTATAGCCTTGGATGGAAACTGGTCTACTGCAGAAAGAAATGGCAACCTACTGTGAGAAAAAATCTGCCTCATCAGTAATGTATCAAAAGATACATGATTTCCTAAGATCTGGAAATCCAATCTTGCTCGTCAATTCAAAATCCAACTTTTCCGCGTACTTATTGAGCCAATCTTACTCTATGGCTCTGAAACTTGGACTCTCTCAGCAAAACAACAGCGCCATTTAGATGGATGTTATACACGTCTTTTAAGAAGAGTGCTTAATCTCTCATGGCTAAAAACCACCCAACTCTAGAAATGATATATGGAGACTTGCCGAGAGTATCAACCTTAGTTTTAAAAAAAGACGTGTCCAGTTAGCGGGCATTGTGCACGTGCCACAGATGAACTTGCGTCATCATTTGTACTCTGGAGGCACCCATCATCTGACAATCGATCACGCAAGTTAACCTTTCCAGATAGGATAAAGCGAGACACATTGATCCCTAAGGAAGATCTTTTAGGAGCTATGACAGATAAGGAATCCTGGAAAGGTGTAGTGAGTTCAATCTCGGCTGAGGCTGCAGGATGATGATGATGAAGCATGTATCACACATGGCACATAACTGACTGATGTCTAAATCAGAGCAGCAAGAAGAAAGACAATTCTTAAACCAGTCAACATTCAGCAGAAAAAATAGTGAGTAAACTGAGAGGGTAACCAGATTAAATTTTGGTACATTGTCATCATTTGCTAAATTTTTTAACAGTGGAGGAGTATAGCTCTGTAGAATTTTGGCTAAATCATTTGCAGCTCACCTTTAAATATGGTGAATTTTCAGTTATGGTATATGGAGCAAATTTTGAGTATCACTTGTTAAAAACACTTGTAGGATGAATGAGGAATATCTATTCTGCAGGAGATAATTTTCTTAGTATTCACTGATAGTTAATTAGATAAAAGAAGTACTATTTATATAGCAAAAATACTAAAAAAATTATAGACTAAGAAAGGTTAATGACCTCCTGACATTAACTTTTTTGACAAAATAATATTTTTTTTAATCATTTCACCTCAAGCAAAGCAATAATGCCACTAAGATGCCAGGAGTTACTGAGAGTGAAAGAGTATGAGAAGACTTTAGTTAGAAGAAAGGGCAATAAAAGAGCAGGATTCAGGTGGTAGAAGATGGCGACTGATGTTGCATTTAAATTTTTGAAGATTGTAGGTGACAGGGAAGCAAGAAACTGAAAGAGAGTTTCACAAATGAGACTATAAGAAAAGAAACAATTAGAATAGAATTTACATCTAAATATTTCAACAGTAAAACATTGAGATGTAGCTTACAGGTGTTATATTAAGTGTGTGGTGGCAGAACAAAGAAGAAACAATAGAGTTTTAAGAAATAAACAATTGTATTACGAAAAAATACAACAAATGGTAAGTTGGTGTAAATGTCTCTCATTGAAAGAAAGAGATAAGAAGAATCATAAAGTTGTCCGCAGAGGCATACAGTAGGAGAGGGAGGGTGAGTTGTTACTTACTACAGCAATGGCCTTTGTCAAGTTGTCATTGGAGGTGGGAGGCTGCGTTCCAACGAGTGTTGTGAATTCTGGCTGTCATGCCAACCAACTGCCGAAGATGTCCCTTTGATGGGCTTTTATGCCATTTTCTTAGGCTAAGATAAGCTCCAATTTTTATTTTGTTTCTTTAGGCGGGAATGGGTACTATTGGGTGGAAATTCTGCATTGTATTTTTCTTTGAGTGTGTTAGTAAAACAGAAACTATGTGCAGAGCCGATTCCCAGTTGATGGAATTTTTAGTTCAGTCTTGGGTTTCGGAGTGTTCACATCCAGCCAGTGGTGGCAATTTGTGTGACATGAATCAGAAGAAGATCTGGTTTTAGAAAGATTATAATGCAAGTGAAGATAAATTATGATAAATTAAGTACTGGAAAGTGTTGTTGTACTCTATACCCTGTAGACTCCCCTGTGGAGTATAAGGTCACAATCTCGCTACACTAAACATTACTGCTGTAGTTTCTGTAGCAAGTAGGTTTTATGGGGTGGAGTTACTGGTCCCCCATGTCCAACTGGTTTGGGGTTTAGAATGCTGGAAGGTGTAAAAATGATTATAATATTTGCTCAGGGCATGTCTCCCAAATTTTAATTTACATAATAAAATATTATTGAATTGGTACGATTGTTGAATAAAAAATCTCATTAGTGTTTGTTTTCTTTTGTCGTGTCTCTGTACAATAATAAAGTATATTAAATTCAGATTTCTATCTCTATTTATATTAGGAAAAACAAATTTTGTGATCAAACTTGTAAATATCACAAAATATCTCTATTTTTAGCTCAAATTAAAAATGTATTTGAAGCATTCTTTAATAATTCTTTTTATTTATGTTTTTATAACTAAGTAAAATATAAATTTTATAAATTTCTTTCATAAATATTATTTACATACTTATTTTATTTCGTAATTAGTTATTTACATTTATTTAATTCCATTATTTAATAAGTGTTTTATTTGAAATTATTATTGTAACATTTAATGATGTATACTTATAATTGTTTCTGGCGTGTTATTTCTTCATATTAAATATTTTTAACTGCAGATCTCATAACATATTTTCCCTCAATTTAAACTTAACCATAAATAAAAATATGACATGGTTGAATAATTGATATTAACTATTTATATTATTTGCTTTATGCTTTTATTAACTATGCACTACTTGGTCCTCTATTATTAAACAGCCACAAGAGACAATGGATTTAATTGATGTAAGTACTAATAAATATGTATTGGAATAGAAGCATTATGGAAATATTCACTTGTATTCTTATTGTATTTATACATGATAGAACAAGTACTTTGTAGAAATTTTCTTAAATGCCTGACATATGAAGTATGTTTGTATCTCTTTGAATCTCTCTATATAGTTAACTTATATCCTTTAATAAAACTTATTAACACTTTCACAAATCTAAGTCATATTAGATATATTAATATAACTATAATTTCATTATGCAAGTCCATGTTTACACAATAAAATTGTAATAACCAATAAATATTGGTAAACATTTCAGTATATACCTCTATTTATGTGGGTAATATAGCATTTGAATGTCACATTATAATATTTATTCTTATTAGAAATATTGATAATAACTTGTTTGGAAGATACTGGTTTTTGTTATACAAACAAACTGCAGCATAAATTTCTATTCATAAATAAGTCCAAAAGATATAGGCCAAACAAACATATTTGATTAATACAATTTCCGAATAAATAATTATTTTACATGTTAATGATAGACCACAAGTTCTCTATTAGGCTAATAGTGAGGTTGAGGGTCATTCCATTAATTTGGTATCTTTGAAATATTTTTTTTGGCAAGAATGAGAGTCAGCTTTGCAAAATGTGAGGGAGCATTGTCATACATGAATATAATCTTTAACTTCTCTAAGAACAGTTTGTATCTTCAGACAATCATCAATTTTGAAGGGCCCTATAATTTTACTGCTTAAAATACTAGCCTTTATACATTATGTCACTTCTACCTTGTTTCCTTCTAAGTCATGTTGGTTTGATTATTTTCATGAAGTAACCTATCTCCACCCTAGCTATCAGGTCCATCTAAGATTCACTACTAAAAATTATTATTGAGAAATTAGTTTTCATGTATGTCTTTGTGCAACTTAGACATTTCTTTTTGTGATGTTTAGGTGCTAATTTGGTTTCTTTCCAATCATTAACCAGTGTTTCTTGATATCCAGCATCTTTTCTCAGTTTACATTCACAATACCAGTTTCTTCAAATATTTTCTTCTGGTCAATCCACTTTTTTGCTTATTACCACTTTAATTTTTACAAATATATTCTTGTAACATTTTAAAGCTATTTTCCTTGTTCTTAACTTGCCAATGTATTTAGTTTTCCTTTTTGATCTTTTCAACGTTTTTGCAATTTCCAACATTGTGTTCCACCCCTCAATAAATTTACAAAATGTTGTTTCTCAATTGAAGTTATATCTTTCTTATGACCCATGCTAATCTTTATATTTCTGAAATAAAAAAATTATAATAAAAGTCACATAATAAAATCATACATCTCCTAATAAGTTATAAATATTTTTCAAAAAAATAGGTAGATATTATATTAAAATTCACATACATATTATCATAAATATATTCTAGAAAATTTACCAACATTGATTAATACCAACTTTATTATGAAAACATTGACTTGTATATAAAATCTGACCTTATGTAATATTGTAGAATATACTCACATTTATATTAATTCTTTCTTAAATGACATCCACTTAATTATTTTTCTAAATAAACATTGTGAAAATAATCTGTCAG